GCTCACACTTTCTATCCGTAAACTTTAGTTCTCCTACTTTCTATCTGTAAAATATAGCTATTTCCTACTTTCTATCTGTAAACTCCAGTTCTCCTACTTTCTATCTTTAAACATCAATTTTCAAACTTTCCATCTGTAATTTTACAGGTGTATTAGTGATGAAGATGAGAAAACAATTTTAACATGTATTACAGGTCATTTATTCATTTCTTTTTTTCGTTGTGTCTTTCATCCCTTGATGCTTTTATTTCATATCATAAGTTCCCCTTAGGGGGGGGGGGCTCCCCCTCCCCTCCAGGATCTCAGGGTTGGGCCCATGGGGCCCCTTTAATCCAACCCCTGACTGTACCCATTGGTTAATATGTTAATACAGGTAAGGGGTTAGTTATTATAACAACACGGAACTTGCAGGTGATGAACCCAGTTCATTTAAACCGCATTCAATACTTTCAAACACAACTTTAATTTCAATAATTTCATAAATCTGAATTGAAATTAGGTCCTTCAGTAAAACAAGTATCTGGATATAAATTTATTTTTAATCAGAGCTTAATCAAAGAATCCTTAGTTGTTTTGTAAGCCAAGAAAACCCCAGATAAATAAGAATTACCGAGATTAATTTTAACAGATCTCTGAAGCTCTTGATATGCTTGTTCCCACAATAATGAACATAATGAATATAAGGAGCTAGTCCATGATCCCGACCACGCTGGATATTCAGAGCAGAAAGATCTACCGGGGGATGGTCATCAATCTAGAAACATAAAATTTCCTTTTTTCTTCTTTTTTTTTGCTTTCAGAGGATGTTTTAACAATTTTTATGCAATTTCTGGATTAAATAAAGTTAAAAAAAAGGATTAAAACACAAAAGCTTTAAAAATTCACATTTTAAAATAAATAAAATTTTATTAAAAAAGATTGTGAACTTAATCACCTCGAAAAGAGATCGACAGAGAACATGAGACACAGGGTCTCCGCTATTCTGCATCTAAAAAAATATCTTTATGCACTGCTCCATAATTGTCAAGATTTTAGAAAGAAAAAGTTAACAACTTCTATTTTAGAGAATCTAAATTCTAAATTAAATTCTAACAATATCTAATTTAACCAAAGAGAATAGAATATATATTAGAGGGGAATTTAGACAGTCTCTCGGTATGAATTATTTCAGTCTCTTTCAGCCTGAAAGGGAGTTCTAAGTGTACAAACCATGTAAATTTTCACAAATTATATGCAGTAGAGTACATTAATAAAATATGTTCCCTAGACTATCCATTTCAATTACGAGTTTTTTAAAGCTGTTAAATAAACTTTATAAAATGAATTAGGTGAATAAAAAACATCAATTGATTTATAGTTATAACAGAAAATCATCGTTTGTAAAGTGAAAGCCATAGAGTCTATGTAAAATGATCATTGGTCAAATGTGAAACCAGCCTATTTCATAATTTGGTTTTCTTTTAATATTAATTTTAGATTTTCTATAAAATGATGTTCCAGGGCCCAAAAGGTTTTATAACACAAATATGTGAAGTACACCTGCAGTATGGAAACAGTACAACAAAATGGCCGTTTTACACTTTTTCCTAGTAAATTCCACTCTAATATATTCTATTCTCTTTGAGTTTAACTTTGATAGATTTGGCATACATTTCTTGGCATTATTTCAGTCGTTCTCAAGAGATAAAAATAAAACAACTCTTAAATAAAAAATAGCTTATAATTTTTATCATTGTAATCATTTAGTTGTTAGTTTTTAACTTCACAAAAAAGATCCCTGACGCTGTATTGCTCTTAAAATGGAACCCTTAATGAACAGAAATGCAGGTATAAAAATACACTTACTTTAGCAGGAGTTCGCAGTATTCCTCGAGTAATAGAATCCAGGCCTTTAGAGCAGAGCATGTCAGGGTTAAAGGTAACATCATTGAAGGAGAACATTTCTAAGTTATAAATATGGTTTACAGGGAGAAATGGGCATCGTTTTTTGACAAAAGTAATTTTTGAGAACGAACGAAATTTTTTGCTAAGAACGAAAAACAAACACAGAGGTTTTAAATCGTTCACAAGAACTTTTAAAAAAACTACTGATTTTTACTCATCGAAAAGTTTACAGAAGATTTGGCTTAAAACCATCGTGTTTTTACTGAACGAACGATTCTTTGGAATGAACTTTTAAAAACCGATAGTTTTTTACTGAACAAACTATTTTATTGAAAGAACGATTTTATTATACGAATGATTTTACTGAACGATAGTAGAAAGAAATAAAAATGGTTACCTGGATGTTCATCATTATATGAGTGATATAGAAAGACTTTACTGTTAACAGTTCCATGTCCAAATCTGAATGCAGCTGTGGCGAATTCGTTCGATATTGTTGCATCTGCATGCTCATCATAGCCCCGATACTCCCAACCAACTAGTGTATCAAACTTTTCGCCTAGAACATAACATTTCTCAATAATTCATTGAAGAAAAAGAAGATTAATTAAATAGAACAATCTATTTTCTGCTTGAAGGATCTGTCAACATAATTTCAAGTATAAACCTCCATTTTATTTTTATGTCTGATTCAAAACGGCAACAATGAAAGTTTTTTTTCTGATTAAGAATAAGTAAGCTGTTCATATTTATCTTAATACATTTTGTAGTTCGTAGAATGACACCAATTCAGCGAAAAGACCCCTTAAAAATGTTAAATGTTAAAAATGTTACTACTTGCGCAAACTTATGTAGAACCTGTACGTTCCCCCCACCTAGGTCAGTAAAATATATGGTTTCCGGGGGATTTTCAGGCCCCAACGGGCGGGACAATCTTAGTCTCAAAAAGTCGTTTTAAATAAGGTTGACAAACCCTAAAAATGAATAATTTACCTAGGACCAGTGGTAACCAGATATAGAAGGTAAGTCGTTGATAGATAGCTCCAGTAATTTTTCTAGCTTCCTGGTATAACCGTTCACCATCCCACATCGGATTCAGCTTTCTTTAAAAAAAATATTTGATAATATTTCCACAGATAATGCAGATGGGACAAGAAAAGGGATAAATGAAAAATGTATAATTGTGGATTTTTTCAGTAGTCACCAAAAATCATTGGAATAAAATAAAAACTTTTTGGTATTTAATAATTAAACACAAGCCTGATCCGTGCACACTGTGCAGTGTGCACGGATCTGGGGGGTATAATTTTGCTTCTTTATAATGGAAGATCAAGTTCACTTAATATGTTGATTTTCCATCAGAATGTCGTCTTCCTCTTCCACATATTAATGGAGACTACTGTAGCAGAATTAATGCAATCTTTAAATTACAATTTAGTTTTACTTAATTTAAAAGTATTTTAACTGAACTGATTTTTTAAAATTTAGATCAATTATGTTTGCAGCAAATCTGAACAGTTTGTATAAATAGAGAAAAGAGACATTGTCGTGAAACTTCAGAACAATATTATTAGTGTTGAAAACATGGGAATAAATTGAGACTTAAAATCTATCTTTATCTTTAAAATGCTGCGTAAAAGCGATTAAAATCATATTTTATTAAGACATATGACACTTACCGCAGTTTTTCCACCACTCTGTTATGCTCCCTGACTAGTAGGGTGTGAAGTCCCATTAATCCAAGGTTCTCATTGGCTCGGGGGTCTCCAGCCACAAAACAGTCAAGGTTTGATCCGGTTCTTCGGCTAAAATCAAGATTTGATCAGGTTCTTAAACTTAAAATCAAGATTTGATCCGGTTCTTGAACCTTAAATCAAGATTTGATCCGGTTCTTAAACTTAAAATCAAGATTTTATCCGGTTCTCGAACCTTATATCAAGATCTGATCCAGTTCTTACTTATAATCAAGATTTTATTTGAGTTTTCGATTAGAAATCAGGATATGTCAAGACATTTGACTGAAGATCAAGATCTAATTCAGTCCTTCTAAAATATATTCTGTATCAATGTGTAATGGTATCTATGTTATCCATGCTAGTAATATATATATCTTAATTATCTGTATGTTGACCCTGCCGGGCTAGCCCGGTCAGTTTCGTTCACCTGTATATAAAATAAATTAGTTCAATGAGATTCGTCATTTAACACAGACGTATATAGAGCCTTGAGTTTAGGATAAGGATAGAGAGCCAGTAGTTTGGCGAGAGATAGTGTCATTTAGATTCTAATTAGACTTTGAGTGGAGTTATCATTACGTCATCTTGGATCTAGATATCTTACACTTCAATCAAAAATCAGAGTTCAATAAACTCTCAAACCAAAAATCACGATTTGTTCACTAAAATCTTCATTCAATCCAGCTATTACAAAAATTTAGAATTTTTGACAGTCTCTCACACAAAAGAAGTCTTTATCCAATCAAGTTATTCGAAAAAGTCTTTGTCCAATCAAGTTATTCAAAAAAAGTCTTTATCCAATCAAGTTATTCGAAAAAGTCTTTATCCAATCAAGTTATTCAAAAAGAAATAAAAATTGATCCAGTTTAAAAAACTTAATAAGCCAAGACACTTACATGCACTCCTGCTCTAGTTGATCAATATGAGTAGGAAGGAGTTCTCCAATTTCCGGATTCTCACACTTTTCCGTTTCTCCAATCATTCGACCCGTCGCAGGGTTATGGAGCAACTTGGCTAGATGATCATCAGACCCATAAACCTTAAAACATATAGTTAATAATCTATCCAGTTAAAACTATTACATTGGTCGGTGTTCATATCCATACAAAGAAGATTAATTTTTCTTAATAATGCTTCCAATACTGGCAAACGTTTCTACAAATTTTATATTTACAGTGAACAAATAGACACTTGACAAATTCACTTTGTTAACATGCTTGTGCGTTCCTTCTGTTTGAAAAATTGGAAGAAATCAAAATTGAGATACGATGTGTCTTCAGTGTTGAAATATACGATTAAACGATGTAGGTACTTTGCCAGTGACGAGTTGCCAGTCATCTAGTTTTGAAATATACGATTATACAAAGCTAGGTTCTTTGCCAGTGGCAAGTTGCCAGGTATCTAATTCACACCAACAATTTGCCAGGTGGTACTTTACCATGTAACAATTTTACCATGTGATCAAGTTGGTGAGCTGGCAAAATGGTGAGCTGAGCTGAAAACTTTAGAATGGTGGATATCGGGATTAATGCTTAATCCACTCTTTTTCTTAATCTCGAGATTAAATATTGCTTGTTTTCCTCTCATTTTTAATCTCCAGATTAATTATCCGATCAGGATTAAGGATATCCCATTCTAAAGTTTTCAGCTCAGGCAACATGGTCAGCTGCAAAATGGTCAGCTGGCAAAATGGTCAGCTGGCAACATGGTCAGCTCGCAACATGGTCGGCTAGCAAAATGGACAACTGGCAAAATGGTCAACTGGGAAAATAGTCAACTGCCAAAATGGTCAACTATTAAAATGGTCAACTGGCAAAATGGTCAACTGCCAAAATGGTCAACTAGGAATATGGTCAACTAGGAAAATGGTCAACTAGGAAAATGGTCAACTAGGAAAATGGTCAACTGCCAAAATAATCAACTGCCAAAATGGCAGTGTTTCGGATCCATATCATTTTGATTCGGATCCGGATCCGGATCTGCGGATCCGCATCCATGATGATCGATCCGGATCCGGATTCTGTTACAGATTCGGATCCGAATCCGAGGTAACTTTTGATTCTGTGAATCGGATTTTCCCTATTAAATGTTCTGCAAGGTTATAATTTATAAACTATTGTAATCCTAAAGTTAAAAATGTCGTCATTACTATTATATAAATGTAAACATTAAATTATTAAAGATAATTTTGAAAAATTTTCGTCATGTAAATAATACATTTACGAACCATTTTGATTTATTTATTCCATGGTTTTGGTTAATTTTTAGCGCTACCCGGATCCATATCAACGTTTCCTGATACGGATCCGGATCCGGATCCGACCAAATGATACGGAATCCGACCAAATGATACGGATCCGACCGGATCCGGATCCGAAACACTGCAAAATGGTCAACCAGGAAAATGGTCAACCAGGAAAATGGTCAACTGGCAAAATGGTCAACTGGTAAAATGGTCAACTGGTAAAATGGTCAACTAGTAAAATGGTCAACTGGTAAAATGGTCAACTGGCAAAATGGTCAACTATTAAAATGGTCAACTGGCAAAATGGTCAACTGCCAAAATGGTCAACTGCCAAAATTGTCAACTAGGAATATGGTCAACTAGGAAAATGGTCAACTAGGAAAATGGTCAACTAGGAAAATGGTCAACTAGGAAAATGGTCAACGGCCAAAATGGTCAACTAGGAAAATGGTCAACTTGGAAAATGGTCTACTAGGAAAATGGTCAACTAGGAAAATGGTCAACTGGCAAAATGGTCAACTGGCAAAATGGTCAACTAGGAAAATGGTCAACTAGGAAAATGGTCAACTGGCAAAATGGTCAACTGGCAAAATGGTCATCTGGGAAAAGGTTCAATAGTGAAAGTCGTCCCCTGGCAAAGTTTACCTTCAAAACTTTGTACACATGTCAGTGCCAACTGGCAAAATTGTCTAATGGAAAATTTGTCAACTTGCACAGAAGACAGCCGGCGAAGTTACCTGGCAACTTTGTCACATGGCATGATGTCACATGGCAAAGAGCCGCCTGGCAAGTTGTGACATGGCAAACTGACACCATGGCAACTTGCCACTCATAAAGAAGCCAACATCGATTATACGACGAAGACAGTAAAATTATGTTCAAACCTCAAGAGACTAAGTGTAATTTCAAGTGACCCTTCATTTAAAGAGAGGGATATCTGCGACGACACTACTCTTCAAGTCGCGACTGATCCAGGATGAGTGACATATATTACGGATTTATGCAGGGAGTAACAGATAAATTACAGATAAAGTGTATTACTTTTCCAAATAGAAAAACGACGATATCTTCCTAATTGTTGATCTTAAAATGAGGGTCTTTATGTTTAAATTACGTCGTTGGCTCCTGTAAAATTTAAATCTTTTTTTTAACTTTGTTTTCAGAATAGTATTCTTTTGAAAAACTTAAGACTACCTGAGAAAGATCCAAGAATGAGTTGAGAGAATTGATTTGGTCCCGAGCATGCACGTGTAGATAAGCAGTTTTAGTTTCTAAATCCATGGATTTGTAAGATAATGACCAGCAAGAAGGGGTTGTGAATTAACTGGTGTACCAAAATCACACATAAAAAGCAACTTAATTTCTCCATCCTCAAAGTTTCCCTTAAAACTTCCAAAAATGTTTGGCAATGTATATTCTTTTAAATGTCTAATTGGACAGTGCAAATCGACTACTGATGAATACAAATTTTTTAGATTAACAATTAAGATATGGTGCTGAAATTATGAAGGATGTCTCCTATTTTGATCCTACGTTCACGGATCTAGATTTCGATGAATTTGATTTTGACTTAGTGAGTTTTGATCTTTGCTGGATCATATTGAGGTCAATGAAGGTCATTGACTTCCGATCAAACATTTTCACCTTGATCTGTGTATTTGAGCCAAAATACCGACGGCTCACGCATAACTTCAGCATCACATCAAATTTTCAGAGTAAAAATTAGTTTAGATCATTTATTTTCGAACCCCCCACCCCCCTTCCTAACGTTTACCTGAGTTGCATGCAGCACTGTTACGAATAAAAGGAATACACTGATTCTTTACTTTAATATCAGAATCATCTACTTTAATTCCAAAACAGGGTGGAGAGTAGTCACAGGTTTTATCACAGGCCTCACCTTAATTGATTTTATATCAAAACTTTTGCTGTACATCTTGTACACCCCACTCTAAAAGTTGCATGATCCGAGTAGGCATGACATGTACTGTACATGCATTCCAGACTGGACAAACCAGTGTAAAGTCGACCCAGCACATTGTGCGCAACAATGTAGTCTGAGCTAAAACTTTATAGAATGGTGGATATCAAGATTACTGCTTAAACTCCTGGTTTTACTAAACCCAAGATTATTTTAAAAACGCATTCGATATCCAAGAAATAAATTTAAAATTTACCCAATCAGCGTGTCACATTGTCAACTAAACATCGATTGAACGAATGCAAGTTTTGGATTAATGTTTGTTAAGACTAACGTTCAAAATGACAATAGTCCTAAAATATGTTTTTTAATAATTTCATATGAACATTATCAAATTTATATTTGTTTAAATACTCTGAAAGCCGGCTTGTGAACAGCTGGCTTTAACACAATGGATACTAGTCCAAACGATGAAGCAATGTATCTGTAATTGTTATCAAACTTAACTTTTATACAGTAGAAATATCCTAAAGAGGATTATAAGAAGAAAATCATAAGTGTGTACATTGTAGAATCAGATTAAGTGATAGTGATTAAGGATATCTCAATCTAAAGTTTTCAGCTCTGGCAAGATCAGCGAGGGATCAAACATTCATTTCCAACTTTAAGTTTCAGATTAATATGATCCCTGTTCGATATCCCGACCGACGGTACACAGTTCTATCAGGACCAAACCTGCCTCAAATTCTTTAAATTTGGTCTCCTAGATAAGATATCAAAATTAAGCCTTAAGATCAAATATAGTCCATCCAAAAGTTTATGCCTCAGAAAACTTGTTAAATATAGTGCTAATCTACATTCTACAACGCTTAGACTTGATATCCACTGTTACAACATTTACAGTTTAGGCCAATGTGCTGAATCCCTGAATTCCTGAATCCCTTAGACTTGATATTCACTGTGGCATTTACAGTTAAGGTGAATGTGCTGAATCCCTGAATCTCTTACGAGTTTCATCCAAATCTTGAGAAGACGACATCTAGTGTCCTATCTGTTTAATTAATCTATGCATTGATCCAACTGATTCCAAAAAAGTTTTTTTCCAAGCAAAACATTTCCGAACAAATTATTTAGAATCCTAACATTACCATGAACGATTGACAACAAATTCCTTTCAAGGGTTCAATGGAAAAAAAATAAGTTGGGGGTTCGGCTTTCAACGGGAGAAAAAATGGTGGATTTTTTTATTATTAAAAATTGTTAATGACGACCTTTAATTGAAAACCTTACCTGTAGAATAGGAAACCTTGCTAGTACTTGCCAATGCCAGATCCAGGTCATGATCCACAAACTGACCCCATTGCATCAATAGCAGTGTCATCCCAGGGTCTTCTTTTAACTTAAATAAAGGTGAATCTATTTGGGAAAAAATTTAATGGTTTAATCTAATTTAATTTAAACATCAACAACATATATTATATATAAGGTAGTTGAACTGAGTATGCAGTGTTTTGGAAAACTTCTTTCAGATTCATTTGAGACATATTAAACTTTTTAAAGATATGTAAATTCTGAGTTTGAATGCAAATTCGACGTTCAAAACTCCGACTTTGGGGGTGGATAAGTTTTCAGAATTAATTTTTTAAAATTATTAAATAACAACGACATAAAATGTAAAAAAGTTCTACAATAAACTACAGAAGTCATGTATAGGAACATGTTGAGAAATAAAAATTAATCTTATCATCGAAAATAAGTAATCCTGTTCAATTATTAGTTTCTATTTTCTCATTATTCTGGTTTCTCATTATTCACAAAGAGCTTCTGGAATATTATTGAAAAGACGACATTTGAAGAATTTGAAGAAATCTGAGAATAAATTCAAAGAAGATAAGAAATTCAATAAAATAATGAAAACGAAATAATCGATTTTAGCATGATTTATTGACAAGTTTCTTTCGAGAAATATTTTCCTAACCGTCTACTTTATTTTTCGTTGTCGTTATTTAATAATTAAAATAACTAATTCTGAAAACGTATCCACCCACAAAGTCGGAGTTTTGAACGTATCCACCCCCAAATCAGGAGTTTTGAACGTCGAATTTGCGCTCAAACTCAGGATTTACAGATCTTTAAAAAGTTTAATATGTCTTTAATGAATGCAAAAAAAAAGTTTTCCCCAACACTGCATACTCAGTTCAACTACCTTACATAGCCGGTCACTCCCTTTAATTTTCTAAATTAAAAACATTTTACAAAACTTGCCGATGTTGAACAAAGCAGTTTGTGACTGACTGTCCTTGCATTTGGTAAATAAAAACCATTTGATGTGAAGTATGGGTTGGCTCCTGAAATTAATTAAAATCTATATCGTTCAAATATAACATGACCAATAATGCTTAAAGGGACTGTAAATGTATATTCAAGTGACCACTTATGCAAATACAGATTCACAACGGTACCCTTAAAAGCTTTCTGTTCAAAAATGAATTAAATATCACTTAAAACACTTTAAAACTTGGATGAAAACGACAATATTTTCTACATAAATTAGCAGATAAATGTTTTAAAGGTACCGTTGTGAATAGGGCATATTATTGTTCACGTTATATTTGATGCTTACAGTCCCTTTAATGCTTAACATCCACAAAAAAAAATATTAAATAAAATTATTGTGAATCATGATAAACACAGAAGTGCTCGCAAAACCTAATTTCGTAATCCTTACACATAATTTTTATTAAACAGTTAATACTTAAAAGAATTCATAGAATGAATCATTAGATGGAATTAAAAATAGCAAGGACTATAATACAATCGATTCGTTCTTTCCCATATACAATAAAATTTTTAATTTTTTTATTTTCACAATTATTTAGATTTGAAATTTAATGATTTACCAACAGGGGTTCCATATCCATCCGCGTAATGGGGGTCAAGGAGGCGCCTGTAGAAGAAGGATGCAGATCCCCAGACAGGGTTTTTCAAATTGTTACAGGACCCATCAAAAGTTCTGTACCTGAGATATTAAAAGAATGTGCCTTTCATGACTACCTAAACTTTAATCAGCTTGAATCAAATTCTGTTTATTAGTGAATATAACAAAACATTTCATATATTCAAAAATATCATTTCTACAATTTCTTAGACTCGTAATTTTGGGTTTGTCAGTACTCACCTTTTATTAAAACACACATCCTCACAGCTGATTGATCGTCGAAAATCTTTACACCCAGTTTCTTCCTCTAAAAAATTTATATAAAAGTAAAATTTTTGAAACCTTGTAAAAGTTGGATGTAAAACGCTAGTTGAGTATTTGTTAATTGAGAAGGAATTAACGTAAACAAAATCATAAAAACCTTGAAAACTTTCTCTTTATTTGAAATTCTGTATGTTTAGTTATTTTGTTGTGCTTATTAAAAAAAAATATCATTTTCTCACCCCAGCCTCCCAAATAAAGGCTAGCAAAATGTTAAGTCTGAAAACAATTTGTGAAATAATTTTGTCCTACTGACCTATCGAATACATATTATCTTCATTCAGCATTTTATCGAATGAATATTGACGGCTCTCCTTGGATGCATACACGATATCCAGAGCTCTGAAATGAGAGAAACTAATAAAATGATCCGATAGAAAAATAATGATCTACACTCTTAACAGTCTACAGTACACACAATGTGGATTGTAAAAGATAATCAATTTCCTGTGAAGAACATGAGGACAAAATTGCTCAATATTCCCGGTGTAAATCATAAATTAGCGATCACTGAAAACTAAAAATTTTCAGAAAAAATACATTGCCAGGAATGAATACTGACTGATATTTATTATTTAAAAACTATAAGTGCAAATACAAGACACATTAATCTAAACATCAGAAAAGGTTAAATTTGTACAAAATTACTTAAACAACTTTGTGTCTAGTAAGCTCCTAGTTTTGATTTAACTTTATCAAAACTCCCAAGACCAAAATTGGTAGAGTGGAATAGGTAAAATTTTTTATTTTCTGAAAAAATAATTGTTCACAATTTTACCGTTGTGACTCGTGAGATGAAAATGCTCGAGTTTTTCACGAGAACTTCGCAAATCGTGTCGTTGTTTTACTTAATTGTTCTAATTTTCGTTTTGTAACGACGTTCAGTAACTAAACCTCCCTCTGTTGGTGAAATCACAAGTCGGTTGTCAAAATAACCACCCAATCTGCAAAGTTCAGGAAAAAAATTGCGCATTTTCATCACGAAAGGCGATAAAATTTTCGGGAAATTAAAAATTTTACTTAGCTCTAGGATTCCTTGACAAATTTGCCATCAAAACATCCCTCGCAGCGCTCTTGATGTTTTTTAAGCAAAATTGGTCTTGGTAACCCTTGGTAAAGTTAAATAATTATTACCTATAATGTGTTTCCCCTGCTAGAGCTAGTCCTCTAAGATGTTGTGGAGGATATCTATATCTACTCATGGCATAGGACCTAAATACAATGTTTAAGTAACAACAAAATTGAGACGGTTTCCATACTTGAATTTCTAAAGATGTTTCTTATCTTTATCCCAAGGAACGGAAAATAAACATAACACCCAACCTTAGTTACCAACGTGGGTTAATAATGTTTGTCAGAAACAACGGCTTAAAAAATATTTAATCAGAATTTTCTTAATGTTGGCACCCTTCGGGAGCAATATATTGTAAGCCGCCTGCGGCCCTGTCGCGAGCTACAAATCCTAGTTGGAAGAAGAAAAAATTGAAAATCATAAAAAACCCCGGTCAATTCGAAGTATCGGGCTAACTTTAAGTTGTAGTGTGAGCATTCAGACTATATATAAAGAGATCAATGTGTACTACGACAAAGAAAATGTCGATATTTTCCTCCTATCCTCTCAGTGGAAAGTCTTAAACAAATCACTTACTTATCACTAAATAATCGCTTGTGGGTCATTGTATAAGCCTTTCTGACAGAGGAACGTGCATCATCTGAAACAGTTTATTTATTTCTAAAGCATTCTAAAAAATTCTGATCCTTATGTTATAAATAAGACGAGAACTTCTGCTGAAACCTGCTAAGACAGTCATTTATATCACATTCTTAAACTTTTCTTCACTAGCGAAGTAGAAAAGTAATTTAACTTTGTGGATTTCAGTAGAATGTATTTGTACCTGCTATAAGAGTGTACAGTAGTGCACTGTCTGTACACTGTACAGACACAGGGTGGCCAAAACTTTTTTGAACACATCCGTACAAAAATCCGTACATTTTCAGAAGAAATCCGTACAATCCGTACAATTTTCGAAAAACAATCCGTACAATCCGTACAATTTTTTTTTTTTAAATCCGTACAATCCGTACATTTTTTTAAACCAATCCGTACATTTTTTTAAAAATCCGTACATTTTTTTAAAAATCTGTACAATCAGTACAATTTTCGAAAAAAATCCCATTTTTGAAAAAAAAACATTAAAATTCAATTTTTCATTCATTGTCTTTTGTGTTCAGTTCATGTAAGAGGTTTTAAACTTCTTCAGCAAGAATCAATCTGTAAAAAATTGGCTTTATACATATATACAAACTAAATACTGGGTACATGATACTAGGTGCATGATACTGGATACTGGTTAATATTATTTAGAATGCAGCAAATAAGTTAAACTAACTTCATTTTGACGAGAATTTTTATTCTTATTTTCATGAAAAATTTGCTGAAATGAGTGAAAATTAAAAAAAAAACGGTGTATTTTCCAGGATAAAAATCCGTACAATCCGTACAATTTGAAAACAAATCCGTACAATCCGTACAATCCGTACAATTTTAGGGTTAAAAAATCAATCCGTACAATCCGTACATTTTGGCCACCCTGCAGACAGTACAGCGCACACTATGCAGACAGTACACTATCAATCAAGGGCCAAGATTTTTTACAAAAAAAAATGTTTAACATCCTCTCTTTTTCTAACTAGATAGAAACCAACTAACTTATTTTATAGGATTAAATACAAAATAATTAAATAAAGTCAACAACTTTTCATTCTTTCTACATCCTATATTGTAGGTAAATAATAAATCTCTAAAAAGTGTTATCACAAAAAATTATCTTAGATTTTCTCATGTAACACTGGGCCCAATTTTTAGATTTGTAAGAAGGTTTAGTCGTAAAATCTTAATTTTTTAAGTTCAGCTTTTTTGTCCTCATTAAATTACCTGAACATATTTCAACAAAGCTGGTAACCCTGGAAAGATCTTGATCAAGTCTACCCCTACAAGAGAAATTAATTTAAATCTTAATCAATCAAAGTGGAGTACAAGTAAGAAAATCCATCAAAGTGAGAGTAGAAGTAAGAAAATCCATCAAAATGAGATCAGAAGTAAGAAAATCCATTTAAGTGAGAGTAGAAGTAAGAAAATCCATCAAAATGAGATTAGAAGTAAGAAAATCCTTCAAAATGAGAGTAGAAGTAAGAAAACCCATCAAAGTGGGAGTACAAGTAAGAAAATCCATCAAAGTGAGAGTATAAGTAAGGAAATCCATCAAAGTGAGAGTCGAAGTAAGAAAATCCATCAAAGTGAGAGTAGAAGTAAGAAAATACATCAAAGTGAGAGTAGAAGTAAGAAAATCCAATCAAAGTGGGAGTAGAAGTAAGAAAATCCATCAAAATAGGAGTAGAAGTAAGAAAAAAAGGAAACCTAATATTTATACTAATTTACCAAAATATTATAATAATAATAATAATATTATAACAAGGTTAATACTTGGTTTTACCTCATTCGCTGCTGAGGAGTATTCACCTGAACAATTAAAGCATAAAAATTTTAATTAAAATTTTAAAAATGTTTTAAAAGTATGTTAAAAGCATACATGGTAGTTAACCCTAAACAGGCTGGGGGCGGGGGCGGGCGCCCCCCCCCTGTATTTTTTTTTTCATCCTAGAACTCTATTTTTGACACTATCCCCGTGTTATTTTGTTAAGTTTAATGAATAGTAATTTAAAGGATTTTCTGTTAAAAATATTTTTTTTAATTCATAGGGTAGTGTACACTGTACAGGGAGGAAAAAAGTCCAGTCTGTGAAAAAAAAATCTAAAATATCCCATTACTTTTTTGTGACTAGAGCTACAGATCTAGACTATATTTTTGAAAAACACTTGAAAAATGCATGTAGATTGATTGATTTACATTTGTTTATAACAAATTGTTTTTTTTTGACCCTTTTCAGCCATTTTTTCCACCCTCCCTAGAATCCAAATTATTAAAGTTATCGGTCTTTAATTTTTTTTTGAGCTGGCCATGAAAAATTGGGCTAAGATCAAGCATTTCAACCCTATACTTATTCTCTAAGGCCTTTTTCTATGGGGAGGCTATACATAGATTCAGAGCCCCCAACCTTTATAGGGTTAAAGAAGTTAAACACAGTGATACCAACTCGGATTACGAAGACGACATTAAAACAACCGTGTGCATTTTATGTTATCATGAAGCAAATAGTTTATTATTAGTTTCTAAATTAACTTTACAAGTTAAAGTTAAGTGAAAACTTTACAATTGATGTGATATTATAGTCGATGTTTATTTAAAGTCATAACATGAATAGCTCTTGAACTAAAAAAAAATCCGAAAAAAAAAATTAAATTCTTAAAATTGATTGGTTCTAGAAAATAAAATATTGTTAAAGAAAATTATTTAAAAATCAAAAATTCTGAAACTGAAATTGATCCTTGAATGAAATTATTTATAAAAATAATTATTCTAAAGACAAATGATTCTATAAATTAGATGTTTCTAAAAATAAAATGATTCTGATAATAAATTAATTCTACAAACTAAATGATTCTAAAAATTAAGTTATTCTAAAAATGAAATAATTCTAATAAAAACTCAGTTATAAAAATGAAATGCTTTATAAGACAAAAAAGTTCCATAACGAAAATTACTTTTTAAAAGTTTCTAAATCTAACCTCAAGGAAAGCAATCGATGACTTCACTTCAAATTGATCTGTGACTGCCAAACACCTAAAATTTAAGTGGATTTATTTATTCTTATAAAAAGTCTGTTTTTCATGAAGATCATCTTTTCTAAAAATATGATGACGTGCACAGGGAATAATTTAGGGATAAATATGACATTAAACAAAAAAAATTTCCAAAACTGCGACAAACTGATTAACAATATTTTGTCGAATAATTTATAATTCTAGAAGGAAATTTTTTGATAGACTGATAAATAATTATTATTATTAAAGTTTATTTCGCACACAAAAAATTATACAATAAATTAAGACAAAGACAATTATGATGAGAAAATCATTTTATTTAATGGTGAGGCCATAAATAGAAACAAATGAGCGTATTTAAAGAAGTTTCTGGGACAAAGATCAACAGTATTTAGAATCAGGGGCGTATTCATGGGGAGTGCTATGGGAGTTCAGCCCCCCCCCCCCCTCCCCCGAGTTAGTGAAATCTGTTTTCAGGGGTTTCAGAAAGAAAAAACATGAAATTAATTTATAGTCTTGGTAATAATAATATTTTTCAAATTGGGACGACGACATTTATAATCTGAATAAGTTGACTCTAATTTACCGGTAGTAGGCCTCATCCTCCTCCTTCAATTTATTCAGCTGTAAACTTCCGTTCGTTAGAACCTCTGATCTATTTGATGGTATCAAGGACATCCAACCATTCTCAAACTAATAGGGAGAGTAATTAATTTTAAAATAAAGGTGAAGTATCATTTTGTTAATAAAGATGAATCTTTTCAGGGAGTGTCTGACAAGACATGGTACTTAAGCTGAGAATGCAGCTTTGTACAGAAATTTTTAGGATTCATTTGAAACGATTTTACGGTGCATATTTGTTCAGCAAGAGCGCAAATGCAATCTTTAAAGTACTCATAGATTGTTTATTTCGTTGGGATGATTTTGATAATCGGGATGTAGGAACGTCTAATGGGTTTCAAATGAATCCTAAAATGTTTCTCAACAATACAGCATTCTTAACTCATTTACCATGCCTAGCCAGTAGCCAGACACTCCCTTTAGTATATCGAAAATAAATTCATGGTTTAAATACTGAAATTCGGCTTTGGAGGAAAATTTAATGATTTTGAGCTAGAAACTTTCCTAAAGTATGTGTCAAAAGAGATATAAAATATAAAAAAATTTACTTAGTTATAATTTCGAGATGATTCGATAAATTCTTAAATTCATTTTTAACAAAAAGCATTAATTCTGCATGATCTACCTTTTCCCATGTAATTGACGGTTGAGGATCTCCGTCAGCCTGACAAAGCAAAAGAACATCTTTATCAAGGTCCACAGAAACATCTTCAGGTCTTAAATTCATCAAATAAGAATATTTCGTTGTCATACAAAGTGTAGTTTCAATTAACTGTCAGAGGGACCTCTCCGATTTACAACGGTACCCTTGAAACCTTAGTCTAATCAAGTATGAACTAGATATTCATGTTTTAGATTCTTTATTCTTTTAACTGTTAATTCTAATTTGCGGTTTCTCTGCAAATATGAATTGCGCATTTCTTGCTTAGTGGAAGTAAGAGAGAAATTATTTAGAATTAAAAACTTTTCAGAAAAACGACGGTATCTTCCACATTATTGACTTGATTAAGGTTACAAGGGTACCGTTGTAAATCGGGCATTGCCCTCTTTGCATGGAGGTTCACTTGAAATTACGCTTGAAGAAATTTAACTCCAAGTTTTCAAATATCTTACTGATGACTGAAGACGGGTCCGAGATTGGTAGGAACTGCAGTAGGTGGTAAATCAGGTATACCGTATCCTAAACAAGGCAATGGGAGCCAGATTTCAAGTAGGTATTTTTTATATGGTCTTCGATAAATTCAAAAATTTTTCAAGAATATAATTATTCCAGTTTAAACATCTTATAATGAAAACGCTTGCTCTTGGAGTTCTCAAAATGTGGTCTACCATTTTTATTATTGCAAAATTTGTACAAACTTCCATTTATTTAATAAATCAAAATTGTCTTAAAATATCGAATATCTTCATCAATTTGTTAGACACAAGCTGTGATATTTTTAGAGTAAAAAATGCAAAGACGACATTTAATCCTCAGTTTTATAGTCAATGATAAATTTAAATAAATGTACAAAATCTACTTATTTAAAAAACAGATTATATGTATTGTATTTGTCATAAGCTTAGAAATCCAGCGAGTGATATGTTTCTTTAAGTCGATAAACTTAAATTTGTTAAACCAAGCTAAGAACCTTGGGCATGTCAGTTTCTCAATCAAAATTAAATTGATCAAGGGGTTTATCATGAATGATCGTAAATATTAAAGGGAGTGTTCGCGAAAATTGAAAGTGGGTATAGGCTTACCGCGAAAAATAAGCACTTTTAATCGCTACAATTATCATACATATTCGGAAAGAATTTCAACATTCATTTCTGTTCATAAAATCTGATTTTGTATGGACGCGACGTTCTTCGGTATGAGTAGTTTTTTAAAAATTGTTCACCTCATATAGACGCAACAGATAGAAGATTAGTAGCGATCAAAAGCGATTATTTTTCGCCGTTTGAGCCTATATCCCCTTTCATTTTTTGCGAACACTCCCTTTAACAGACAGAGATCACTGTTTAATTATACAAATACCTAATGTTGCAGAAAGGTAGAAGGGAAGAAAATGCCAAAACCTTAGCATGTTTCACCTGAAATTCATTAGAATTAAATAATTTTAGTAGATACCAAAGCAGAAAAGAAGAATCTTTAATCAACGTATCTAAATCATATTTTACGTTTAGCGTGTAATAAATTTGTCTTGAGGCCGATATAATAGACTGGGGGCCGAGCGCAGCAATCCCAGATTGGAGGACTTGTTACAGAAAGTATTCCTGATCCAGAATTCCTTTCTTTTCATTTAATCCTTAGACAGAAATAGCAAAATTAAGTATTTTAGTGAAAGGGGGGCCGCGGGTACTGGGTAGTGATGTGACTTCAGTTGGTTAGAATTTGGGTATTTTTTGCAGACATTTTCTTCCAGGGTGAACTTTTTACAAAGAATAAAAAGCCAACTTTTATTCTAAACATTTTTGGTCCTTTCACTAAAATTTAATTCTTACTGAAAATGTTCCAAACACGATGCAAACAGGAAGAATGTTTTAAGGATCATTTTACTATTTTTTATTTGTTTTATAGGATATAATATATATTACAAATTTTAATAAAAGCAATTTAACAACATAAAACAAATGTTGGAAGTTAAATGTTACATTTTAATAAAAAAAAAACGGTAATTTCCTAGTATGCGATTTTTGGACCCCCAGCCCCTATCAATTTTGTACATGGGTATGACAGGAAGTGTCTTAACTTAACCTAACCCGTAGCCGCAGCGCTCGGCCCAGAAAGTATCTTAACCTTAACCTAACCCTAAATAACAAAAGAAAGTGTCTTAACTAACCTAACCCGTGGCCGCAGCGCTCGGCCCCCTAGCCCATCCTAGCCGCAGCGCTCGGCCCAGAAAGTATCTTAACCTAACCTAACTCTAAATAACAAAAAAATAAATAATAATAAATTTGCTGAAAAATAAATGGTCATGTACAAAATTGATAGGAGGGGGGGGAGGGGGTCCAAAAATCGTATACAGGACCGACCCAAAAAAACTATTCATAATGATTAAAAAAATGTTCTGTCTATAAAACTCCTAGAATAATGAATCTTTCTTGTATACATTTTCACCCTCGTCGCCCCAGTTTTGACGTGGCTTGTTAACCCTGTGATTTATTTTGATAATTCATGTTTGAAGTTTGAAGAAGAAATTTCACTTTTTTATCTCTATGGTTTAAACAGGAGGAACAGGTGTTATGGCAACTTCCTTACACATATATTAGGAAATCACCCAGTTTTGTGAATGTCAATATTTTTCTAATAAAATATTTATTTATTAAGTTTGTTTATATTCTCCATTTTATTCGAATCTTTCAAATCAAAATCTACAACTGTATAATGTTAAGACCCAACAAAGGAAACTCGGGAGTTTCGTTCAACGATACTCTTTAAATTTCGGACTCCGTGCTCAAAAAAAAATCACTCAATCATCTTAAAATTGTGTGTCTCGCGTGACACTTTAAGTGTTGGCTTCTAACACCGTATCGGACCGGAGCGTGATGGCAAATGACTTTTGTAACAAAAGTTTTGTTAAACATTAAGAACAGGAATGTGTACACATGTACGCAACAGAGTACACAGAGCCCGAAATTTAAAAGAGTATCGTTCAACGAAACCCTTGAGTTTCCTTTTTGGGGTCTTAACATTTTGTAGATTTTTATTTGAGAGATTCGAGAAAAATGGAGAATAGGAAGAAACAAATATTTCATAACAAAAATATCGATATCCACCCATTCCTAAAACCCGGGTTTTAAAACTGGTTTTCATAACGATACCCTTTCTTAAGTTTTGGGCTCTGTTCACACTGTACACTAGCCAAATACTGCGCTTTCTGAGGTAGAAACTTATGCATTGATCAACTTAAATTTATCAAATCTAGAACGATCTTAATTGCCTCGATATCCAATAAGGCACTTTTAAATTTGAGGATCAATGCTGATCCCTGTATGAAAGTTGTTATTCCTGCAGGGTATGGGCAATGATCAGGAAATGAAAGAGTCGAGATCGAATAAAAGATATCTGTACTGCAAATAGATCTGCATGATATGTGCATACTTTCCGAGTTTCTCAAAACAAATGTTTAGACCTCTGTATATGGATCTTTTAATTCTCTAATTCGTTAAACATTTTCGAGATGCCGCGATTTCCCGGGAAATTGTTATAGATGCGAGAAAGAAAGATATAAAATGTCCGACGAATTTGATTTATTCTAGTCCAAAACTTATAAAATTAAAACCTTTTAAAATTTATCAAAAGTTTTAGAAATAGGCGTGTACAAGGGTGCTGTGGGTCCAGGCCCCCCTGCAGGATGGGTGCTATGGAAACGCCTCACCTCCCCTTAGATTTTTTTTTTAATTGCATATCAGATGTGTTGAATTACTGAATATCCGGTTAAGGTAAGATTAGTTTATAATTGTTTAAGTATAACACGCATTTTCCTTGCCCCCCCCCCCCTAAAAATGTTTAGAGGGGGGGGGCAAAAAAATTTTCGCGCTTCGTGCTAAATATTTCCCCCTATAGCCCCCCCCCCCCTAACCAAATGTCTAGTTGCGCGCCTTAGCTTAACCTTGTTTTAGTTCTGTAACTGTTCTGAGTCTGACGCATATTGTACAGTGCTTTAATATCGTTCCTGTAAGGAATGAAAAGCGTATGCAGGGTCGTTTCCATCCAGAGTTCCTTAAAATTAGTAAGTTGTCGGTAAACGACCCTGCAGATACCTTAGGAACTCTCGTTTCCTTCCTGATCATGAACGATAATTTGTCATTCATTGTGCATGCAGTGTACGCGTTGCCGTTATACGTACAGTTTGGACTCAACTTCCTTTGAGAGAGAAATCATTAATTACTCGAGTTTACTAAACTGCCTTTTTAAATCAGAATCCTTATGAGGCATTTCATTTTTCGGACGTGGAAATACAGTGCACAAATGTCTGCAATTAATGAAATCTATGGAAAAATTTGGCTTGTCTGTCTGTTTGTATCCAAAAAACGTCAAAACAGCTGATCCTATCGGGCCCAATTTTTTTGTGGAACCTTGCGTGACCCTAGGGAAGGTTTATGAAGTTCGAAATTTAAAAGTTTTCGTTTACAGGATTTTTATTTCTGTAAAATTTTGAAAATGCGCGAAAAACTTTTAATTTCAATGTTTTTTTATTACACTGTACAAAGAGAAGATGCTCACAGATAAAGCCACAATTCAAAGTTAAAATAAAATATGGACGCGATCGCGCCCTAAGATCCAGTATATTACATTTGAGTCAACAAATGCAAGTTTTTCTATAATAATTGTGTCAAAAAATTGTCCCTTTCCAAAATCCTAGTAACCCGGGCCTGCCGCGCTCATGGTGGGAGATAGGGAAGACACCGCCCTCCTTTCTGGGACTCCAAATTTTCCGGGGCCCTGGAAAAATTTGGAGCCCCAGGAGAGAGTGCAGAGACATTCTACCCCTTTAATTTTGATTTTTAAGAAAAGTCGTAGCCCAGACCCCCCCCCCCCCCACACACACAAACACACGGCCCACATCCCCCTTAGTACAGTTAGACTCAATTGTAAGATAAATTCGGAATTAGCAATCCTAAGATTGTGTAAGTCTTATAGAAAGAAATTGTGTCTTTAAGCCAAAAACTCTGAATTCCTAATCCTCATAAATTTGCATCCCACTATGTGAAATATATCAATGGTTTACACCCTTAGGTTAAAAATGCAAAGATACAGGGATTAGAAAATTTAAGTTTACGCCAAAGAATCAATTTCTTTTAAGAGATTTCTTTGATCACCGTCAGGTTTTAAACAACTTGATTTCACATCTAATTTTTCTCCGTTGAATATTATAAGTATATGTATTATATATATATATATATATATGTATATATATATGTATGTGAATATATATATATATATGTTTTTATATATATATACATATATATACGCGTGGACAAGATGGATTTAAAGGTTAGGTTTTCCGAACCAGTATCTGCAGTAGCGTTAACATCTCTGAACCCAGAGGTGTGTATATATACTACAGGGTGTCTGGAGGGATATTACAGCTCCAGGTCAGTTTTTTACTTTTATAAACAAGTTGAATAATTCTGTATATTGTTTTTTCAGTTTATCTATTTATTTTTTATTTTTGAAAAAGATTAAAAAGGTGTTTGATACAGTGATAACAAGAAAACTGTAGAGTAAGTGGACGACATTAAGGCAATATAATTAATGTAATTAATGTCTTTATAAAGCAAATATAGGTTTACTAGTAACTTATTAAAATCGCTTGTTAAGTGAATTGGGTTATTTTACACTGCACAAGTGGTGTATCAATTATGTTTATTGGACTATTTATAGTCATAAATTGAGTCTTAAAGTTGTCTTCCTATTCCAGAGTTTTCTGGTCATCACTGAATAAAAAGAATTGAAAACTGTTTGACCTTTCACACATTTAATCGGGTAATTGCTCAGAACAAAATAACAGAACAAAAGTTTGCCGTTTATATCGCTTTGTATCAGACTCATTAAACTATTTAGAATCTAATAAAACTGTTTAAAATGACAAAATATGGTCAGTTATATATATTTATATATATAATTGATAAGTAATGACACAATTTTGATAATGGATGACAACTTTTTTGTACAAAATAAGAAAAAAAAATTCTTAAGAATTCGTAAAAGAAAGTTTATCAAAATGTTTTATTTATTTTTATTATTTTTTTTCTTTACTAATTCTTTCTTTTACGAATTCTTACGAATTTTTTTTTCTTATTTTGTACAAAAAAGTTGTCATCCATTATCAAAATTGTGTCATTACTTATCAATTAAAGCACTAATACATCAATCTCTTGTGAAGCAGGACAGAAAATTAGATAATTAAGGAAGGATTGATTATGATAGATTTTTAGCAAAACTATTGTTTTGTGATGAGTGTGCAAATTATATATATTAGACGGTAGACATGCATTTCTTCGAAATTTTAATAGAAAACACCATGGGATTGGGAAATTTTCATAGAACACACCATGGGATTGGGAAATTTTAATAGAACACACCATGGGATTGGGAAATTTTAATAGAACACACCATGGGATTNTAGAAAAAAAGGGTAACCCTCCTCCCACCCCTTGAAAAAAAAGGTAATTCTCCTCCCACCCTGTAGAAAAAAAGGGTAACCCTCCTCCCACCCCTTGAAAAAAAAGGTAACTCTCCTCCCACCCTGTAGAAAAAAAGGTAACCCTCCTCCCACCCTGTAGAAAAAGGGTGATCCTCCGCCTGTTTAGTGTTTACTTCCCTGAGTGGCTTGACAAGTTGATAATGACATTGATATTATTTGTCCGTGACTGTCATTTTGACTGTAATTGTATGTATGGCTTGGATTATTTATTTGATTCTTAAGTGGGAATTTTGAAAATAATATAGAGCATAGAATTATGTGTTTGTCACAGGGTGATAAAAAAATCAATCAGAAATTTTTGAATGTTTAGCAATCCTTAAATCGACGTTTATGAATCTATTGCTTCATGAAGAAAAAAGGAGAGAGACATTGTTGCTAAAAGTTTTGATCAAAAAGCTGTCAGATAGACCTAGATTTGTTAATGCAGTAATATGAGGAAAAGGGTAAACAATCCCTTTAAAAACTCAATTTACAAATCAGAAAGGCAAACATGATTCGCAATCAACGCTATGCAAGTAGGGATGGCGCGTTCAGCTCTTTCATTTCCTTCGTTTATCGTTTGTGAACGTCCCATTTTGTTAGCTTTTTTTCAATCGTAAAAATATTATTTCGTTCGTTTTCAAAATGTTCGTTCATTTTTCATTTATTTCGTTCGTTTTCTCACTGAACGATCGTTCAGTAAAATCGTTCATCCAGTAAAAAACTAGTGTTTTTTTATCTTTTAGAAAATTCGTTCGTTTTTTTAAGTTCATTTGAACGAATTTTCTTAACGACACCGTTCGTTCTCAAACATTTTGTTCGTTTACAAAATTCTGTTCGTTCACAAAATTCTGTTAGTTCTCAAATACGATGCCCATCTCTATGTGGACGTGACCCGCATTCATGAGATGCAATTATAAAAATACTTGTTTTTTTGCAACTCAAACAGGTTGGGCGTCTCAATACGGAACATTTGCACAGATTTGCATTGTGCCATTTTAGAATATTTGCAATCATTCAGTTCTTTTTGGAGTTAACAGCTATGAGGCCGTAAACCTTCCTGAAAATCTCAGCCCCCTTTTTTTTAAGAAATGAATATAATTTGCGCATGTAGAATTTTTTATTTTATTTTTCCCCCTGATTATCCTACAAAAAGGGGGGTTATGCTTTAAACTTTGAACTTATTGTTTAGGGGTTCAGTGTATTTTATGTTTATAAAAAATAAGTTTATCTCAAAAACAAAGGAATAATAAACAAATTTTTTTTCAGCGTAAGCAACAGAAATATAGTATTTTAATTCATTTCAATTCCACTTAGATCGACATTCATTATTAATTCATATACAGGGGGAGCAAAAAAAGTGTGATTAGCGAGTCGTCTTTTTTTTCTCGGGTATTGGCAGTTTATAATAACTACTAAAAAATAATATCAATAAAAAATTTGTATATATTTAAATGTTGCCTTTACAAATTTTGTTATTTTCGATACCGAATTTTTACACACAAAAAATGTAAAATATTGCACAGGTTGACACTAGTATACAATTTTATGACCATCCTGAATTTTTGTAAATGATTTTTTTTGAAAAAATCATAATAATTTTTAAATCATAAGCTACACTTTAAGTTAATGCATCAAGATTGAGAACGATTACAATTTTCATTATAATTCTGAAATATTAATTATTATTATATTATTATTAATTTTTTTTTAGATTAAATCCCGCAACTGCAGATATACAGTGTACACAGAATCAACTCCTTGAACAAGATGAGATTTTTGCAAGGTAAACTTTAATCTTTAATCTTCAATCTTTAATCTTCAATCTTTAATCTTTAATCTTTAATCTTCAATATTTAATCATTAATCTTCAATCTTTAATCTTTAATCTTTAATCTTTTATCTTCAATCTTTAATCTTTAATCCTTAATCTTTAATCTTTATTCTTTAATCTTTAATCTTTAATTCTCCTCTATTCTAAACTGCAGCATTCCCCATCGTAGTTAACTCTTTATAACTCCACCCATACAACCCCCTCCTCCTCTTTACCTTCTTCAAACCCTCCCCCCTCTGTTTACCTTGATTTGTTGCTTGTTGCCTAGTGCAAGTATGTATTTAACCCACCTTGACATTTTATTATAACGTTTTCTTTGTTAAAATTCAAACATTGACTGTACACTATAACAGTGTGCAGTCACAAAGGGCAAGGAAGGAGCTATCAGCTAGGCTAGGGTGAGGTTTTGAGTAAAGAAACTGATTACTCACATCAAACTCCAGCTTTCTAATCCCCAAATAATTTCAATCCTATAAATGTTGTAGAATGTATAGACCTGTATTCAAACTAAGAATAAATAGATCAAATAGTAATAGATAGAAATATCAAAGGTTTACACAATTTCAGGTTGCAAAGATCTAGGGATTAGAAAATTAGAAAGTGTACAGTATCCATATGGTTCGTAAATAAAGAAATGAAAATAAGCCCATGAAGTTGAGAAGAAGGAACCCATGGAAGAAACGTTTAGGAATAACACCTATAGGATCATTACACGAGAGAGCAAGGGGAGGAATGCCCCATGCCCAAGCCTCCTTTAGGAGATTGCAGAGCCCCCCTGGCCTTCCCCCCTTTTGTATATATACCCTCTATAAATGAAAAAACAACACTAATCCCGTGTTTCCCCTTGAAAATTCTCAGGAGAAATGTGCTTCGCGCAATTTTTACTCCTCCCTTAAATTAAAACCTATATTTGTGCAGGATGGATACTGTTCTTGGTGTCTAGCTGTTTACTAGCCCAAGATGAATACAACCCACTCTACCTAGGCCGGTCAGTTTTAAAGGGAGGGTTCACAATTCTAAAGAAATATTGTTTGAAATTGGATTTACATTTTTTCAATGTAATCTTATGTGTTCTGAATGGAAATGTGAAATTCTTTTAATAACAATCATTTATACTATCTACCTATATAATAAAACAAGACATCCATATATATGTTGCCTATAGCCGGCCAAATGGCTGGACCGAATGGGCTGAAACTTTTTGTGGAAACTCAGTGGTGGCCAGAGGGTGTTTCATGCTAAAAAAAAATCACAAAAAAAATTTTCAAACTTTTTTAAAATTTTTATTTTCTCCCCACGGCCAGCGCCGGGCCCTTCAGCTAGTTTTACATAATTTAGTTTAAAAGTTATCTTGGTAAAAGTGCCAGGCTCTCCAGACAAAGTTTCTTTTGCACTTTAGAAACTTCTTTGTTAAGATATTATCAAACAGCAAATATTTTAATTTTGGTTCATCCTAAATTTGAAACTTTTTAAAATGTTTAATTTATTTTTTCTTTAGTTTTTTTGTTCTGAATTTATTGACAAATTTAATTATTGTTACAGTAATTAGAATGCATTTGAAAAATAAACTTTTGTCCAAAAATGATGTCAAAAAAACTATCTATAACACTGATGCTACCTATCCAATTCTTTATCGATCTAGGAGACAGAAAGAGAGGGAGTTAAATTGTAACTACAACCAAGTTTCGTTACTCAACCAAATCTTAGTTAAAGGGGAAATAGACCATAAAGTACAACTACTAGGATTAGCTAAAACCTAAGCAGAGGTGCCTCTTGTTATTTCAAAGGAAATTC